ACTTCTTCCTCAGGATGGAGACCTGGTCTTTAAAGAGGACAGGGTCGAGCCTCATCTGAGAGTGGATCAGCGGCATATAGCCAAACCAGCTGGCGAAAGTGTTCATGCAGCTCTGCCGCTGGGCAAAGTGGTCGGGGTCGGCCCAGCGTGAGGCCCGGGACGTCTGTGTGGAGAGGAGAGCAGAAATCAGGTGTCGTCCATGACGCGACAAAACGGCAGGAAAAAGCGGGCACCGTGGCCGGGCTGACGCCATGCTGCAGAGGGGTTTCTAACCAGGGCAAGGACACCCTGCCCGCAGCGGGAGCCAGTCATAGTGAGCCGGCCAGCCCTGACTCTCAAAACAGCGCTGAGGGCAGGGCAGCGCGGTGACCTGAGTTCGACCAGGAACATGACACCCACGAGCAGGCCTCAAAGCCTGCCAGCACACTACTTCACCCCATCTCTCGCTCTTTGCTTTTTTAAACCTTCAAGCTATTTCAGAGCTAGAACAAGTCCTTGAAAACCACCAGGGAAGACAAGAAGGCCATGGCTTTCCACTGGAAGTGCACATCCCACAGCCAGCTGTTGCCCAACGCCTTCAGCCACGGGAGGAAAACACGCAGTAGTTATCAGGGTTTCTCAGGTCAAAAATGCATTTTTGCAGTCCAGATCTGCAGAAATTTATACACGAGTATTTTCAACCAGCTTGTAACTGAGCTCAGAGGAAGTCCTTATGTGCTTGGCATTACTTGTGCATGTAGACGTCCTGTGTGCAAAAGCAGGGTGCTTCCAGGAATCCCACTGGCCGAGGTCAGTGCTGTCTTACAGACAGATAAAATTAACTGAAGTTCCAAATTAGATCACGCTAAACTCTGAGAAAAGACCACAGGTTGCATATGTGCAAAATTGTGTGACCTGATTTTCCAAAGCTCAGGGCAGCTCTAATTCCCACGAAAGTCCACTGAAGTTCAGCACTTCTAGAAAAATAAGGCCTTAACAGCTCTGAGGCAGTTAAACTACGAGTATAAACATAACAAAACTGTTAAGAACAATTATGAATGCTGAGAGCCAAAGTTTTGTTTTGTGCCACTTCTCATGCATCTCTCCATAGCACTTGTGTATCCACTATACTTTAAAAACAAATATAAATTCATAAATTCAAAGTGTGTTAATTAAAATGCAAAGAAACTGATAAAGTCAGGGACTTGCCAAATGAATGTAGTATCGGACTTGATCTTTGTCCAAGGCCTGTCCATTTTAGCTCAAGTGGTACGTTATAATGTGCATTGATTACACACTTTTGATCCTACGGAGCCACCAAAGAGCAAGCAAAAGCTTGTTGCTAGAGGATTATAGGACACATTCTGGCCATTAACAGTGAATTTCCATATGACTATTAATCTGTGTCACAACACTGAGGTTATGTTAATTTTTTATTTGTCTTTCAAGGAATTATGAACATGGCCCATTACATTTCCCAAAGCTGCAAGAACAACTTGTCTCTAGGAGAGAGTTATAGTTCATGGCTGACTCAAGTCACCTGCACTATAAAAAGAAAAATGAATGTTCAGCCTTTGCCAAACAGCCCTGTGGAGAGGTGAAGCTCAGACCAGAAGCAACAGGTATGTTCTGGATGGCACGTTCTTGTTCACAGAAGGTCTCCTGGGTACCCAGAGGAGGCAGGACTGCTGAATGCTACCTATACTTCAGCTGAAAGTGCAGTGGCGTACAGAAAGGGACTCTACAGACTGGCACGGTCAAGCCCCAGTCAAAGATCCAGGTAATGCTAATAAAAAAAAAAGTGAGGGGAAAATGAGGCCCCTTTTTTTCTCCTGCTCCCCAGTAACCATGTTTGCAGTGCAATCACAGGCTCCATGGCAGCAGAGTTTGGAAGTTATTTAGGACTTGCAGGTCTTGCAGGACTTGTTATTCCTCCCATTACTCACTCACACAGTGCCCCTGAGGTTACCATGTATCCCTGTTACTAGAAGGTATATCCATTTCTGCAATGACAGAGTGCTTATCCAGTAGCTGGAAGAGGATCTAAGGCAAGCATTTCGTGGCTTCTAGTGAGTGATGGCATCACGGTGAGATAAAATGTTCCTCGTGGGAAAAAACACTGGAATATCACAAATTAACTCTGTTGTGACAGCCCGATGTCAGTGCTTGAATCACAGTATATATTTTAAAATAGCGCAGGGACGGCCCGGTACATTATATTCATTAATAATAAATAAAAATAGAAATCCTTTCTAGAATTTACTTCTGCTTCGAGCATCCCATGACTAGGTCTTAGGTTTAGAATATTTAATTAGAAAACTGGAGTTTAACTGAAATTTGGTCACCATAATGATCAGTTCCATGAATTTGGGATCATCATGAATAAGACTGTGTGAGGAAACTATGAAGAGATGCTGTCATCTACAGTAGATGTTTGCCGTTTGTCCCTTTGGATTTTCTTTCATTATAATAAGCATATCTAAAGTATATTTACAGTTCTGTTAAACTAAAAACTGCAAAAAACCAGACAGAATTGTATCACTCCGTAAACCTAACCTAGAATTCAAACCGTTGTATTATGAACACATCCCAGCTGCTAAAACATGCTGTGGATACATACCTGTCCCATCATAGTCTCCTTATACTGTTTTTTCTGTGTTACTTTGATTGGAGGCAATTTTGTCACGGCTGACACCAAAAAATTCATTAGAATGTCCTCACAATTGGCCAGTTGGTCCACCATATTCTTCAGGCTGGCAGGCAGGTAATGTGTGTACAGGTAGTGATAGTATCTGGAAACCAACAGCAGTGTTAATACAAGTCACTGGGCTTCCAGGGACTACAAACCCCAGGAAATTTCTGTCTCAGTTGAGACACAAGTTTTGCAGTCAGCTCTGGATATACCACTTCCTTTCTTCAGTCCTGTCCTCCAACAAGTAGGGACAACCAATCAGTATCTCATCAAGACAGTAAACCGTGCTAACAGAGAAACAAAACACTGTTTTGTGACTGGGTTGAAAGAAATAATGCAGACCTAAGAATCAAGATAATGGAGGAGTAGCAAAGAGAGCACCACATTGCTATAATGTGATAGACAACACTGATGAGTTCGTCCTCCGCCTCGTCTTTCAAAACTGAGCAGTTGGAGAGAACTCTATGAAACTGGCCTGCTACTGTCCCGATTGCTGAAACTGTTCTCCTTCAGGCCTACACCATCCCCTACGGCCTGTCTTCTCCTTTGCAGGGATGCGGATTAGGCGCTCCAGAATTTGTTGACTTTCTCCTAAAATCTAGAGAGACGTTTGGTCTCCCGGAGTCCTAACATCAGGGGTTTTCTCCAACATGCTGCAACACGCTGACCTGCGAAGTGCCCACGGGACGACACCTCCAGAGCAGCCAGAAGACTGCAGTCTGCAGCTGTCAGCCAGCACATACCCAGAGCTGGTCTGGAAGTAACCTCCTTTCTGCTGTGCTACAGGCCATTCAGCCAAGCAGCTTAATGAATTCGGGAACTCTTTGAAGTGTGTAATTCCTGACGTTAAAAAGAGCAGTCCGACTGCCTTAAAATACAAGTGACTTCAAAGAGACCCAACAAGCACAATAATGATTACCAGATCCCCAGAGCTAAACCAAGAACTTAAATTATTACCCCATAAAAAGTAGACCCATTTATTATCTTTCCAGTTTTTCCCCTCCCCAGAAGAATGTTCTTCACCCCCCTCGCCCCCTCCGTACTATTTTGCTTTATACAGAAGGAGGACAGCAGATGCTCCGGGTTCTTACTTGTGGTAAATAGCAGCTCCTGTCAATACCATGGAATAGTCATTAGTCCATTTGGAGGTGTACCCCCACCGCTCCTTAGTGTTGTCCCAGAAGTGACTGCGAGCAGGGTACCCCACAATCCTCTCTGGAAAACTCTGCCAAACTGTAAAGGCAAAATCCACCTGCAGACAAAGGCACAGGGCAAATGAATACCGAAATTGCTTCCACAAATGTCAACAAAACAAAATATTACCTTGCCACTAATTCGTAATCCAAAATCTTGGAACTGTTGCAAAACATTAATTCTATGTATTCATCAGTAAATTAAACTGACTGCTTGACATTTTGCCCTATAATTATGCACATTCTAATGGTTCCTGTTAAAGGGAGTCTAGAGCATTACAGCATTACATTAACATTTTCAAGCTTGCCCTTTACATATCAAACCTTTTCAAGTTACAGAAAGAATGGGTGTAGGTGCATGTATTTATACTTAGGTGCCATACAGAGTGGTAATAGCTGTGTGGTAAACGGAACCTTTGGCACATCTTGGTGCATCTCACCTACCATTTCAGTACTGTCAACACAAAGCCTGGAAAATCAGGAGTCAAACACCTTAAATTATAAGGGTGGCTCAGCGAGATTAAAACAGGCAATCAATGCAGAGTCCTTTTATATTTTCCATCCATTCTGAGCCTCTGAGGACCATGCAGGTCATACTGTTAAGACTGCCTATATGACCAAGAGGGTTAAACATATAGCTTAATAAAGAGGAAGACAAGATTTCCATGTAGTTAAATGGCTTTAGAAACCTATACTTTAAGAAAATGCTTGATACTGTATGACCCAGAAGATGTCAAATGCTGCCAACAGTGGTGGTTTTTTTTTTCTTTGTGTAATTTTATTGTCTTGCTGTAACTATTTTAGTAACTAAAATCTCTGAGAACTGGGAAAGTGACAGGACATTGCTACCCCAGGATCCCGCCAACCAAATCCTGGTGACACTAGGAAAGGGGTGATTGGGGTAGTTTGCATAAGGCTCAGCGCTAGATCTGGAAGGAGTCTGACAAAAATACATATGGAAAGATTTTTATCACTGTGAAGTTGGTTGGAAGTCCCTTCACTTCAACTGAGGTTTTGGATATCAAGCTAGACTGAAAGTTTAAAAAGAGTTACAGACAATTCTAACTGTACCAGTCAAACCCAAGCAAACAAGGGGTTTGTTTCTGCACTGCACACCAAGTTCCCAAGAGTGCCGGAGGGCCCTAAAACTTTGCTCAAAACTGCTTGAAAACCCTTCCAAGAACGCAGCCAAAGTCAAGGGTGTAGAGGTTAGGTAAAGAATAGCTGCTCTGCGAATAGTCACATTTGCGTGATTACTGTCAGACTTCTCTCATTTACAAGTGTTTTTGTAAAACAGAAGAGTCGCACATGTCCTGGAACACAGAGTTAGGGACCGGTTATTTTCTTTTAAGTTGTTTCAAGGAATCTGAGGCCAACTAGAAAGACAATGTGCACAAACCAGTTACCGTTGTGATGGTTCTGATCTCATCCAAATCAATACCACATGAAAGAACCAAAGGGCTTTTTTTCCCTGTAAAGGCCTTTCTCATAAAACGTGACATCTGTTTTCTTTAGACAAGTCTGAGAATCTCAAACTTAAATAAATAATAAAGCAGCTGCACTCAGTGCCCTCACTTGCGCTTTCAAGTATCTGTCCTTGTACCACTGAGACACACCAAAGCAACCACCCTAAAAGAAAACTTCCTTTATTAAAAAACCCCAGTCCTCATCCTATATGATCTTCAGCAGCATTACTGCTCAGATGATCATCAGGAAACGCCAACCAGGCTGCCAGTCTCTTCTACCCCCGTACGACGTCTGACCCACGCTGCTTTCTCCTTGCTTCCTATGCAGACGCCCTCTGCGCACGTGACGCAGCTCCTCGCCCAAGACCAATTGTGTTGTGAACGGAAAACCTTTGCTACGCTGGAGCCGGAGAGAGTGGAGGATGTGCCTGGTGATTGCTCCTCCCAACGGGAACATGATCGCGTCTGACCATGTTCCTAAATTGCCTTCTCTGGGCCCTGAAGCTTTGCCACAACTACCGTGAGCAGCCAGTTCCAAGGGAAGTTTCACACCACGTACTTCATGTCAGTGTTTCAACCTTCTGTTTCTTTGTGTAAGCTATACGACGGGAGCAGTGAAGCAATAAAGGCCCCAGTTCTTCACAGAAAACCACCAAAGGAAGCTGCTGACCCTGGCACCGGCACGCTGAAGCTGCCAGGCGGACTGTAGCGAGAGCTGGCCAGCTGGTTCTCTCTGCAGCGTGGGGGCCATGGGGCTTGTGGAGCCAATACCCACTGTGCAAGCATGCAAGATCGGCTGCAAGCTGCTCACAGGAGGGAAGAAGCCACAAAGAAATGTGTATGTTGTCTCACAACAACAAATATTTGCGTTTCTGAATGTTTACGGTAAAACATGGCCAAGCTGAATGAGAAACACTATTTATTTCATATGTGTTCCAGAAGCCTGAATGACTCCAAAGTTTGGATGATGACTAAATACCAGCCAAAACAAAACAAAGCCCCAAATCCTCATGGAATCCACAGGCTGGACTGCTGTAAATACCACCTCAGTGCAATGAAGTCCCTGAGTGGTCCTACCACGGCCCCAGGGCAGCTGCGACAGGACCCTTCACCCTGAGCAAAAACGCGCTTAGGAACTCCAGCCCTAGGATAAATGCCTTTTAGTGGTTTTTTTCAGCTGTGCAGGGCTTTGAACACAAGTGCTTTGGCAGCAGCCGCATTCTTCCTCATCTAGCAGAAACTACCAAGGTGTAGCCTTGGTATCAAACAGGTTCAACGCCAACTGCTTCTTCCATCCGTGCAGCAGAAGAGGAGGACTACTGTGGCTTCTCCTGAAGCAATCTAACCACAGCACAACAAATCCGTAGTGGGGAGAAGAGCAGTTGCGGTCTCATCCATTTAGAACAACTTTGGTGATGTTTCAGGGTACATAGCAGTGACAGGTGACTAATGTTAGGCATTTCTTCACTGACATATACGCAGTAGCAGCATCAGTGAAAGATCCCCATCACTGATAAAAAAGTATTTCTATGAAGGTGAAGTCGGGAGAAGGGAATGGCCATGAACATGGGGAAAAAAAGGGGAAACCAAAAGAAAATCGAGTTTTTCAAGCTATTCCCTGGCCATCATTAATAATGTATTTCCCAAATATTGCACTCTATATAAACTGTCATCAGTTTCCCCTGTGGTTCTCAGGAAGAGGTTCCAGAAATCAATACTCATCCCAGTTGTAAAAATTGGTTTTCTACAGTATTTTTCTTTTCTTAGCGCTATCTTGCTCTTGGCACAAACACTCTAACACCTAAACTAGCAAAGATCTCCAATTTTATGGGGCGACACAATGGTGAAAGCATTCCTCACTGAAATCCCGCGTTAGGGTGGCAGCGCTGTCTTTCAGAGCGACAGCAGTCCCCTGCTGCTGACACCCCTTCCCTCCCCACCTACACCCTATGGATAATGTGGGGGGGAGAAAGCTACCTCAGAAAAGTGAGAACAGAGTATTCAAGCTGACTGCTCTTGGCTGCCTACACCCGCCTGCAGCTATGTTACTAAAATAATAAAGAACGGAAGGACCATATGCTAATAGTGAGCCAATTAACCAGGGCGCAAAGCTCCTCTGATGGCAGGCAGTGGCAGGGTTGCTGAAACGAGCGCAGCGCGCTGAATCTGAGGAGCATAGCAGGGAATCTTGTAACGTTTGCTCACTGGCAAAGCCAAGAGAAGAGCCTTTCTGCTGTGCTCAGGATGAGCCCAGGAGCCAAGCAGACTCCCGAGACGACCGAGACCCTTACCTCAGTGGTTGAAAGCACGGTGTCCTCATCCAGACTTAGCACTGCATCGGTCACTATGTTGTCGTAGGGGAGGAAGCGACTGCTCATAACCTGTGGGTATCCGAGGCAGGAAGGAGAGGAAAAAAAAAACACGTGAAGGACTCATTTCCAATGGAAGTACTCCATTTCATCCCTCACTCTTATTTCCTCTTCTCTGAGGCATATTGCATATCTCTGATGGAAAGGACCCTTCAGCTCAAGAGTGAAACTGTCATTTTCGTCACCCCAGCACTCAGCCTACACCTTCCACCTGAGGAGTAATTTCTGAACAGACCTCCCTCTCCGGAGCAGGCTGCTCTCCTTTTTTGCAATGGCCCATGCTGAGAATTAGATGTACCTCCAGCTTCTTTAGAGAGGACATTTCCCCTGGTAGCTAGGACTGTCCCTCTGCCCTCCTACGGGGTGTGAGGTTGAAAGATAATGAACGCAGAGAAGGACTGTGCAGCATTTGTAAGGTTACACTGCCGGGAAGCCGAGCAGCCCAGGCCAGGTGTGAAGGATGTTATGCTGCTGGATGGTTCCCCTGTAAGGCGGTACGGCTCAATCTCTGTGCACTGCTATTGTATCCACCGGGAGCTGCTGCCAAATGGGGCAACACTCTCCACCAGAAAAGGGGAAAATGGAAAAAACATGAATATCAGTTGAGCTTCACCTGCATCAAAAATTATATTGGTATTGTAGCATTTTAAAAAGTCATATTCTTAAGTGACGTAACTATATGTATGTATAATCTACATGCAGAATAAGCTTTTAAAAACTATGGCAGGACAGTTCGCAGAACAATAGGAAATAGATGGGAAAGTGGTATCAAAAGGATAACAGCAAGAAATGAGAATCCATATCGTTTCTTTAGCAGACTAATTAGCACCTTTGAGAACTAATGAATAGTAACAAGGATACAACACTATTTGTTTCCCGCATTTGCTAGGAAAAATATCCTGGCTAGTTAATAGATCTCTCTTCCAATTTATTATGTCAAGAAAACACTGCAAAAATCAGGCCAAATAAGAGGAAATCACTGTATGGAAACCGAGACGCGGAGAAGTTGTACCCATCCCTCATAATGAACAGAGTCAGTTTTGCGTCCCCTGCAGCCTGTTTGGAGGCAAGTCCGAGTCTATGCCTCGATGCAGAGAAAGCCCTGACTCTAAAAGCAGGGGGTTCACAGTGTCTGCCTGGAGAGCATCCCTCCATTGCTACAATGGCCTCGGCCCAGGGAGGCGGTGGCTGTGAGGAAGAGGTGATCTGGCAGGCATCGATGGTCTTCCTTTGCTTATGCAAAGGCAAAGCAGAGCAAGCAGCTGGCAGGAGACCAGTGTTCTCACCCCAGCTCTTTTACAGACCACGTAGAATTGTCCAATAGTATCATAGAATCACAGAATGGTTTGGGTTGGCAGGGACCTTGAAGATCATCTAGTTCCAATCCCCCTGCTATGGGCAGGGACCCCTTCCACTAGACCAGGTTGCTCAAAGCCTCATCCAGCCTGGCCTTGAAGACATCCAGGGATGGGGCATCCACAGCTTCTCTGGGAAACCTGTTCCAGTGCTTCACCACCCAAACAGTAAAACAGTTGGGATGACCCACAAGTTTCTGTTTTTTCTGTGTAGTTAAAGCTCCCTTTTGTCCAACAGGTGTGATGATGTATCTTGATTTCATGGGGAAGAGTGAAGGTTAGGTACAGGCAGACCCCTGTGATCACCTGCACAGAGTAACTGTGCCTGCCAGTACACTGCAGTTAAGTCTGAGGAGGCAAAGCAGTTCCTTTGTGCAACCTTTGAATTGCACTGCTCTGGCTCTGCAAGCTTTGTCCAAACAAACAGCTTTTCCACGCAAGAAGCCATTTGGCATACGTTGGGATATTAGAGGGAAAAGACTATCCACTATAAACACACCTTTGTGTACTCAGGAGACTCACGTGTAATCTAAACAGTGCCTGAGCCAATTTCTACAAACACTGTAGAAATGGTCAGAGATTTTCCCTTCGATCTCACCTCTGCAAGTGCTCCAAAAAGAGAGGAAAAAAAAAAACCCCACAACATTCAAAAGACTCAGAAATCACTACAGCCTTTCTTGGCCCTGCAGCAACAATCCTGATACTGTTTACATGGCTAGCTAAGGCAAGAGCCGTTAGCTGCCAACCCTGCAGGGCGCTCGCCTCCCCCTTGTTAAGGTGACTGGGGGAAAAGACCCGAGACAGGATGGTAAATTCAGAATCGGACTGTACAGCCAACGCAACTGAACATTCCCTTTGCAGAGCTCAAGAGCCAGCTGATCAGGACTGCAGAAGGGACCAGCCCAAATCTGTCTCCATCAGAAACTAGAAGACTTGCTTCCTTCAGGCCTGCATTTGGAAACGGATCATCCACTTCAGCGTGGATTTTAAAAAAAAGGCTCTCTTCTCATCTGGGTGGTGTCTGTTTCGATTTTGTGGAAGTGCAAGCAAACAAGTGTATTTGCATAGCGAGAGACGCCACGGTGGCTTTGTTCCCAGGCAAGTGTCCCTTGTCCCTTCTGGTTTTTTTGGTGGTGGCATCCCACCACTGGCAGCAGTACTACAAGGCCATGAGAGAAGGTACTTTTCAAAGGCACATTAACACCATTCATTCTCGTCTTTTCCTCTGCTTTTGAGTCCACAGCTGACCCCCGAGCCTTGCACCTGACTGCTCACTCAGTTAATCCAGCTGCATCACTACTTTCAGGCACCTGCAGAGAGACGGAAATCTCCAGAGATGGGGTCAGCACTACCTACTCTCGGGGCCATGTTTCAAAACTGGGTCCCACCTGTGAATCTCAGATTCACGGCATTAATTGTCATGCTGATGTTTCTGAGAGCATGGGGCCTCAGGCATGAAACACAAAATCTGTGACCAAGCTGGTACAAGGGGCCAAGGAATAGAAAGGAGCTGTAACACCGTTGGGAACTACAAAGCTTTCATTAAAGCAGCTGGAAAAATAAATTCTGGTCCCACTGGAGAATATATGAAATCTTTCAGGATTTTTCTCTCCACTTACCTTGTTCTCTCCTTCAATGACTATGACAGGCACAGAAGTGGCAGGCCAGCGGTGTTTGGCTGGGAGGGGTTTATCACAATTCCATAAAACAATGATCTGAAAGAGAATATTGGACCATGATCAGAGACACCTTTGTGGCAAGGCAGTCCAAACACCAAGGACTCAGATCTCCATACAGAAAAGTGAAATTCAAGTCAGGGACTTCAAAATCAAAACCAATGATACAAATCTGTATAAAAAGAACACTTCCTATTGCAATGTCACCCATCCTGACTGTTTACAGTGTAGGTCCTCCAAACAAATATAGGCTGGACGGGAACTCAGGAAGTCTCTACCTAGGCCAGGTCGCATGGATGTCACTGATTTACTTCGGCGCTCATTGAAGGCCAAACTACTTGTGACAGTCCCCTAAAAGAGGATGCTCCTACTGAACTCCCCAGGGCTTCTGTTAGAGAAGCCAAAATCCTAGCACTGTGGAGACTAGGAGCCACAGGAGGAGGAAGGAAGTTCACATAGGGAGACACAGACATCCTTTCACCATTTGCATCACACACAATCCTGATCTTTAAAGTGCAGTCATCATTTCACCTGCCTCATGAAAGAAATGGGTTGGATTACTGTCTCTATTCCACTCCCACTATACTCAGAACTTTTGTTTCCCATACACGTGGGTCACACAGTGGAAATCCCAGAGGAAAAAACCATCAGAATTGAAACAGGAGTTTGAAACTGGACTGAGAAGATCTGAAGTCAGTAGGCCCTTCACTCCTGGCATAGCAGTTTTGTCTCCAATGTGACTGGCAGTCAAACAGCGCTGCTTACCTGTGCACAGTACTGGGACTTGGCAACAGCAACCAGGAGTTTCAGCACAGGCTGAGATTGGGAAACCAGGGGAGTTACTGCGTGGATAACGGCAGTGAATGTGGAAAGAGGCTTCAGACCTGAAGTGAAGAGATAGGTGTTCAGTGAAGACAAAATTGCCCTGGTTAGTTAGTTAGATGGAAAAATAATCTGCACTTAATGCAAATCTTGCCATGTTTTTTTATGCCATCTCCTTTTGTCTCGGATACTAGGATACCAGATGCCTCAGCGGAGATTACACTTCCCTTTAACTCCCACACCCTCTGAAATCCATGGCTCCAGCGCAATTACTGCCTTTTCTTACTCACTATTTGCACAGATGTCCTGCAATCTCTCTCCTTCATCCAGTTTGTCTCACAGATAATACTGACCTCTGGTTTGTCCAACCAAATGTCTTTCTGGACTTTGGCTCTGTCTACAGATTATCTCCACAACCTCCTTCCAGAAGCTTGTTCCGTTTCCTCAGTGCCATTACAGCCTCAGTCAGATTTTTGCTATTTCTGGGCCGATCCCCCTCCACATGCATCTTCAATTACCTCCTGAGCTAATAATTCTGCTTGCATCCTTGCCTTCCATCCTGATATTTTTGTCTCACTATGATTTCCTTTTCCGTCTGAAATAACAGATCCTACTGGCGCCCTCCCTTCATTACTGCTCTCAATCTTATCTAAATTCATCTGTGCAGGGTCATAGTCGTTTCTCATCAGACTTCCCACAGAAACCTTCTCACTCTTTAACGTGGCAACTGTGAATTTTTAGCAGGTGAGCAGTACAGATCCACACAAGTGGGATGGCACAGGCTGAGCCAAAAGTAGCAGCAGTCTGGTAAGCAGGATCACTTCAGCCTGCAGGCACAGTCCCCTGCAGAACTCATCATTTAAGCTCTGCTTCAGCAAGGAGTCATGAACCTAAGTTCTATTCATTCCTCCTAGTGGGATGCGTCTGTAGACACACAGTATGGAGAATAAATCTGTACCAACTATGCACTCCAACAACAAGTGTCATGGGTAAATTACCACTTTTCCAATTTGCCAAGCACAAATAAACAAAGAAAGCAAAAAGCTATTCCTCTTATGTCCCCTCAGGCCATGAATGGGTCAGCAACCCAGGCATTAATTACTGGCAACTGAAAAGTATGAAGGGACATAGATTTTTTTAAAAAACAATCTTTGGAAGCAAGAGGCACATGATGCATATTGATGAGTCAGAGACATTCCAGTCTACAGTGGGCAGGGAAGATTGAGAAAGGATAAACGAAAGGCATCATTAACTAGAAATGAATGGTAAGTCACTTGGCTCATGCTGCTCAAGGATCCAAATTTCCACTAGAAATTCCAAATACCATTAGATTATAGCAAGGATTCACTCACCGAGATTAGCATAGTAGTAAGGAAAATCTCCCAGATATGAGGAATACTGTGGCAGTACAAATAACCCTCCAGGATGTTTGTTCCATATTAAGCTGTTACGTGATATGTGCTTAAATATTCTGTCCTGAATAATCTGGAAAACAAGAGTGGCAATGATTTTTAAAGAGACAATAATAGTCACGGGTAGAAGCTTCAGGGACTCCAGCTGACTGGAATCATCAACCATCTTCCAAAAAGCTGAGGCACGCAAATCACTAGACATTCCTGCCTAATCTCTCTGAAAATGACACAGAACCTGCACACTTTGACACCACTTCAGCAGCTCAGGTTTTGTTTCATAGGTTTCAGAGCACCTCATTAGTCTCTCTGGACACGGGGACCTTGCAATTCATTGCAGTTTTTATTTCAAGTCAAATATTTTGTCTATTAGAGTATCTCAGCAGTCGTAAGCCTGATTAGTTCACTGTCAGTCCTACTACCCAGAACTCACAGGAGATAATTAGGTGAGGATGGCATTACAAAGCTAGGTATTATTTGCAGATAATGCGAGCATTCAAAACCACAAAGACTTTCAGCAAATCAGGCTGCACTAATTATTCACTTTTGCTTAATTATAAAGGGATATTAGCATTCAGATACATTACTTATTCCTCATCTCAGTTCTGTAACAGTTCCTTGCTGGCTGAAACAGAAGATCTTTTGGCAACTACTGTCTGTCTCTGTAAAGGCCACACGGATTCCTAGATTTTTAAGGTCAGAACAGATTCCTAGGTCATCTACTTTATCATCCAGAATACCCCACGCCACAAAAAAAAGATACAAGGCTGTACAATTAATATGTATTTAGAAAACTAATTAGTTACTTCACATCAGATGCCTGTATGCAAGAACCATAGCGATTCTTACACCGATGGGAGCTTTTTCAAACTCGCTGCAAAGGCACGGTCAGACTCAGCAGTGGGAAGCTGTAACCGGACAAATTCAGCCTCAAATAAGATGCAACTTTCTAAGCACACTCGGCTGCTGGGCCACACGTTCCTACGGATTTGCCTCCCTGCCCACCAGCATCAGAGGTTGGCAGGTCTGGAGACGGGACATCGCAAAGCGCAGTGAGGTGGTGAAGAAAGGATTTTCCCCTAAGTCGGCTAAGGAGGATTGCCTTGCCTCCTCCTGCAGCTCACTTCTGCCGTCACCTCGGGAGGTCCCACCTCACCAGCAGTTCCTGCGCTGCACAGGGCTCCAGTGCCAGGAACACGTTGGTTCTCCTGGACTGACATCCCTGGCCTTAACAGAGGCCTATCTGGGTGAAACTCTATGGCTCTGAAGTTGGACTAAATCTGATCCCTCATCACGCATTCTGGCCTTAAAATCTATGGAACTAAAGAAGTTATATACCCACAGCATAGGAAAACCAAAAGCAAGCAGAGAGAGCCAACACAAGCTGAACAAAAGCAGCTGCTGGAGTATAAACAAGCTAAAATCTCTGTAAGTGGCTGAGCTCAAGGACATTTGGTCAATACAGAGCATGAGTAAGTGTTGCCACAAGCAGTGGTTTTCCTAGAATTTTTGATTGCTGTGACAAAAAGACATTAAAACACCATTTACATTGTGCTAGACAATCTACTGCTGGTGGCAATGTACGTACTGTAAACTGGGGCAAATGTTAGGTGTTTGCATGCTTGTCTGAATTTTGCCTACAGCCAACTACCATAGCTAATACGCAGTAATTCGCTCACACGAGTAAGTTAATTTGACATTTTGTTTTTTGGTCTTGGAATAACAGATTTAGGACAAGAGCATATCTGTGTATTTCTGTTTGGAAAGTTAAGCGTGTCGGTTGTCAGACCTCCTGTGTGGTAGTGGGGAGAGGAAAAAGACGACTGCTGTTTCTCCAGCTGCACTAAACAAAGGTAGAACCTAGAAAGTACATATTTTCGAGTGTTTACCACGAAGCCTAAATATTACAGCTCCTTCCTCCTGCCTTTTCAGAAGTGGGGCAAGATCAGATTTTTAGAAGCCTGCGAATTTACACGGTCAGGAGGTTTTCACAGACGGCTTCCCACCGCGCTGGTAGCCGACAAGGCCGCAGGGGAAACACACGGCTCGCGTTCAACGCCTCCGGGGCGCACCCGGAGCGAGGGCAGCTCTGCACGGAGCAGGCCCGGTGCCACCCAGCACACGCAGCCTTCGCTGCGCAGTGGGCAGGCACATCTCACCGGCGTTCCGCACCGGGCCGGGGAGCTGCCCCCGGCCATTTATCACAGTTAACGAACGGAAGATTAATTTATCACACTCCTACGTAAGAAACATAGCTGTCTGTCATGACAGAGAGGAGAAAAGACAACTTGGCAGAAAGAGAACAGAAAAGTGTGAAAAAAGGTAACACGGAGGACCAATCAATTAAAATGCAGAGTGTATAGCGGTACACATATTGCAGAGACAGACAGCAGCTACACGGCCTCTCCAATGATGAGGCATGACAGGAAGTTTAATAAGAGAAGGAAGGGGTTAGGATCTCCGGCGAGATCTCCCTTTTCTTTTTGGAATTCATTAATAGTCCAATACTTTTGTCTCCCTCATCCTCACACTTCAAAAAGTTCACATACTGCCTTAATTACTGCTGCTTCTCAACGTGCCCCGGCCAAGCGTCAAACATTTCTCCTCTGTACTTTGTGTCGTCCCTCTCCCCTCCTCTTCCCAAGCGGAGGACTGAGCACACCGCTCAGGGATTTAAGGATGTTCTGGGTGTGTTTTCAGAGAAGACCAAGCTGAAAAAGTACAGATACACTGGAGCGAGCGCCTGGACGGCGTTTGCAGCGGTCTACTGCTGCGCTGCCGGCGCTCCCACTCTCCAGCCTGCAGCACACACTCACAAGCACCTTCTCCTAACCCACCCCACGTCCACAGCACCGGGCAGACCCTCTGTGCCTGCAATACGGGATTGCATGCCAAATGATTCAGACCTCTTATTTTGGGCTATGAGCTGTTTGCCTTAGGCCACCAAATGCTGTGAGAAGATCAAGGACCTTAGCATGTGACTTGATGTTTCCAAGGGTGTCGAGGACAAAGGGCAGAGGAGAGTTGTGATGTCCTTGCAGAGATCTGAGTTTGTGAAGACCTTTTCTGTACTGATATCCTACACATGGGCATGCACCGGCACTGCAGTTAGCAGGCAAGTGATTATCCTGATGATATCTAGTATCATCAGAGCTCTCTGACACAACAGTGTTACAACAGAAGATGGATAAGAGCCACCAGAAAAAAATAATCCTGCTAGGAATTTACTTCCAGGCATCAGATTTTAAGAAGACAATATACTGCTTGCAGATTTCGGACATCAAAAATTACCCTCGACTGCTTTATTCCTTTCCCAAGGAAAGTTAACTCAGGACTTCACTAAGTTGAAATGTGAAATGAGTATCTATCTCTTCATAAGAACAGAATCCCTCTTAGCTGTCTCAAAAAATCTGAGAATCCTGAATTAAAAAATAAACAAAAACCCCCTCAAACCAAAACCACCCTCGCAAACAAATGAAAAAACCCAGAACATAACTGCAACACCAGGCATAAATTACTTGGTTTCATTAAATTAAACCTTCCAGGAAGATTTTTGTTTTCACTTTAGTTTTTCCCCTCCCAGCGGAAACTCCAGCTTGCTGGCTGCCCAGCTGCTTCAGCTTTATTACGGGTTTTGCTGTCCCCTGGGCACGACCACACGGGACAACATGTTCCAGGGCAGCACTGAAAGACGCATCTGTGAGCGCTGGAGCCGGATGCGATGGACGCCCAGGCCGTGGGGGCTGCAGGTTATGGCCCCCCCAGAGCAGCCCCAGCACCAGCAGGAGGGGCAGCGAGGAGCGTCATGGGCCCCTCTCCTTTCAGCAATCCCTAACGGTAACAGGGTGCATGCGGGGAAGGGGTGGATGACACAAGGCACCCTAGTAGTCCCTAGGAGTACTTCCGTAAGGGTAAATCAGGCCGCAAGCACTGGCACATGGTCTCCCCACTTTGTGAGTCTGATCCTGGCGTGGGCTGTGATAATTATCACTACCTCATCAGTGCTTACAGCGAGTTTGAGGATGCAAGGCAGTTCCCAACAGGCAGCACAGATGAAGACATGCTCTTCCAAGGGCGAGGAGAGTGCTGCGAGGCTAGCTATGCCAGGGGCTCTGAAAATGTTCCCTGGCTGGTTTTCTTCTCTAGCACGGAAAAACCTAAGGGACTGTCTTGCAGCAGCTGGAGGTAGATCAGCCATGGGCAACCTGTACTGCAGGCAGCGGCACTCATTTGCAGTTTTCAGGGGAAAGCAGGCACAGCGGGAAATGTGGAGCTTTACGGATGCAATTGCAGAAGCATTAGCATAAGACAAATGCATTAGCACCTACAAAGTGAGCCACTTTCGGTGGTAAAAGTGTGTCAAAAATTTATGTGCAAAATTGCGAAACACTTAGAAGAGAAACCTGCTTTTGAAATGGCAGCCTGGGCCCTACTTCTGAAGCGCCTTTCATCTCTCCTCTGTCTCTGAATTCAGAAAGGATTCTCTCCACATTCGAGATCATCTGTCTCCCTGTTTAATAGCAGTCTAATTATGATTATTTATTAATATTTTATACGGAGGATCAGGCCTTTCCCTTATCCTGTGCGTGAAGATAAGACACAGTGATTTACAAACCCTTCCTTTTCCTCGAGCCAGAACCAACAGCCCCGTCACAAGGCATCAGAATGTTAAGGAATGGTCAGGAGGAGCTCTATAGTAATGTATTTTCCAATATGAATTCCAGAAAGGTTTCTTCAAGAAACACGTTCACTCCCAATGACAAGGATAGCGATTCATAAGCTTTGCGAAAGCAAGATCACGCATGACAACTTTTCCATGCGTTGGGTAGCTCCCATTTTTCACAGCGTCAGTTTTCTAATGTGGATTCTGGTAACGAAGAAAGTATTTCCTTAAGGGAGAAAACTTATCAAGATGCCGAGCTTTTTTCCCAGTGACCAATGTTGTGTCATGAAAACCAAGGTCTGACGCTGGCTGAGAACAGGAGCAGCTGGACAGGTACGGAAACCTCATTGCTCAGCAAGGTCCCAGACAATTTTTACTTACCTCTAGTGTAGTCAATACAATCTTCTCAACTGAAGAAAAATAAGCCTCCCACAAGAACTGTGTCTGCTGTCTAAGTGCTAGGATTTTATCCTGATGGATAGACCTGATTGTAGAAGGAATCTGTAATACAAGATGTAACGTAGTCAGAAGTTTCAGAAAACAACGCAATCTCATCAAATTAACATGCTGCTGAGAAGCCCTCTCCTCTATTAGCAAGCTGCACAGCTTCAGCACTCCTGGCCGACAGAGACGCCTGTGTCAACAGTTAAAGCCTTGATGTAAAACGAATGAGACACAACCCTTTCTAACCTTTGGTACTGAATATATGATTATTTTTTTTAATCTGCTTTCTTCTCACTTTCGGTTATTTTACAGTAACAAAAGCTCCCCCATCCCCAGCGCTGAGTGTGGCACAGTAAGGAGCTCCTCCATGCACCCCTCACGCGCAAAGCTTTTCACGGGCTAGTATTCTAACAGACTAGTACCTGCAGGTCTGGAGAGTCCAGCAATAATCCCCACTCTCAAAGTTTATTAAAGGGACCTGGAATTGCATTTACTGCAGCATGGCACCACTAAGTGCCCTAAGGAAAACGTAGCAACATCTTAAGTAAGACTCCTCTTTTTGGGAGCCTGTGGATCAAATTGCATTTTACTAATTACTATGGATGGAAGGAATAATGTCTCCCACAACACCTGTTACTCACCAGGGAAAACACTGCTTATTTTTTCCCCTTTCCATTAAATGAACACATTAATTCTGGTATAAGTCGCCTTACAAATAAAACCCAAATTGTCCTGCTGCAATGCTCTGCCATTAAAACTGCTCACTCGATCAGAGGGGGCGGGCTTCACTTCTACATCTCTCCCCTTCCCCACATCCCCTCTTCAACACTGGAGAGAAATTAATGTATGTATGTGCCATTCTCTAACTTAGGACACTGGCCAAGGCCTCCAGCACACCAGTTTGACATGCAAACTGACATTATCAAGGGGATTTAACTGCAGATTGCTTCAGTTCATAGAATCACAGAATGGTTTGGGTTGGAAGGGACCTTAAAGACCATCTAGTCCCACCCCCCCTGCCATGGGCAGGGACCCCTTCCACTAGACCAGGTTGCTCAAAGCCTCATCCAGCCTGGCCTTGAACACTTCCAGGGATGGGGCATCCACAGCTTCTCTGGGCAACCTGTGCCAGTACCTCACCACCCTCTCCGTGAAGAACTTCTTCAATTACAAAAGCTACTCACAGCATCAGAAAGCCATCTAGGATATGTTGCTGATTTGTGTTCATTTTCTCTAGGAATGGAAGGTTGTGCTTTTGCACCTACTGTTTTTTGTGATTTCCAATTTGGCCACCTTGTTCTCAGACACTTATTTCTCATAAATCCTTTACCTAAATTGTTAGTTATAAAAAGTGTAATCCTGGGCTGGGTGTTTCTTTTCGTACCTCCCACCTTATTCTCGTTTACTTGCACCCCACCACATCTCACCTGTGCCTGACCAAAACACACTTTGCTTATTCCTAAAATATTCTGAGAGGTGGCATTGATCATATTTGCTTCCACATGCTCCCGAATCAAATGATTTCACATTTTCCTGAAGAAAATATGAGATTTTAAGAATTTGCATGTAAAAAATTTCCTCGTGAATCGGTAAATCCTTCACTGCATGGTTTGCATCTGGACACTGTGTCCAAAAGGACCATGTCTCCGCAAGGTGCAGTGTCAGGTGGCTCAGTCTCTACCCCTAAGCTCTTTGTCTCTCAGACCTTCACCTTAGAGACACTGCTAACCAGCATACAGAATTTGAGCTTATGAGAGAGTTAGCACTACAGCAAGGTGGAACAGAAGGAAATGATCAGACTGTCAATGATGGTACTATATGCTCCTTTGCTCTAGGCCTCTCCGGTAAAATACAGGTCTTTAGGTACAATATTCCCTGCAAAACTAGTATGAAGGCTAGAAGCTACACACATGTATTAGTACATGTTTTTCGAACTGATCACACCACTATTTGTGATTTGATGCAGTAAGTAACTTCATCAAATTTCATTTTCTGGGATAAATATTCTTTATTTTATTACTTTTCCAGTAAGTTCCAATAAGCAGGGGGATAATGAACATTACCTGTACTGGCTGTACACAGATGTGTACTAACTGCACGCGGGATCATTATCAGCAACAAACATAAGATCAAAGTCACTTCACAGCGGTGATGCAACATTTTCTCTATAAACATTTCATTGCATTCTGTGCAACCTTGCGTGTGTGTGCCTACACGCGTGAGCAACAAATAAAATCAATACTCATTCCCAACTACGCCTTTTGAAAGGGAAGGCTGCTCCGGCTGTGGAGGTTACTGCAAGAGGTTAGGAGTTTAGAGACCACACCGTGCTTGCGAGTGTCTGCAAGCACCGTGCCAAGGTCAGAAACAAGCCTTGGTGCCTGCTCCATTACAACAGCTGGAAAGAAAAACCAGAGCTCCCATTTTAACTGCATTTGCCTGTTAGGTATTAATCTACTTGTCCAGAAAGACAGGTGGGGAAAATGATGTATTAATACTAATCTGGCAGGATTACACCGGAATTATTAGAACGGGATGACATCTTAATAAAAGGTTATTTCAGTAGTAAGTTGAAGGAAGGAAAATACCACCCTGCAAAAATAAATGCAGAAAGGCTGGATTAAGCTCTCCCGGTGCTATGATGAGGAGAATATGCAAATAAAAACATCCGAGCTGCTCTCAAACAGGAAATGAAAAACTGTAACACAACAAAAACATTTCCCAGAGCAGACATTCAGGCCCTCTGCCAGCTCTTTAAAAACACTGTTAATAACGGTGCAGTAGCTGTTCAATATGGAAGCAGCTGTGAGGAGAACGAATGGCATGGTACCGGAAAGCACGAAGATCAGCAAATTATTATTATTTAAAGAGAGAAATAATTGCGCTCAGAAAAACGTTCTGTCCGCAGAAGTAAAAATCAAATGGCCCTTTTATATCCGCAGCTTGTATCACGTTAAGGAGAACAGGCAGCTCTTTGCAAGGCTTGCTAGGCCAGCTCTTCACAAATATTTACTTCTTCAGATGAGTAACTAGGCATCTAACAAGATTTTCAAAGGTACTTCATTTTTGGGGTGCGAAGACACGTGTACCTTTGAAGGCTTCTCTCCATGGATGACAGTAGCTTATCACTTTGGAAATGAGTGAAATTCAACCATTAAAAAACTCCCAAAACCTCTTAGTGGCTACTCCAGATGTTGTGGATCTCATCTTTATGCTGGGCAATGGAATTTTATCAAATGCTACCTTGCAGAAACCAATTTTTCAAGAACTTTTCCTTCCGTCAGCTTCTTGGCATACTTTACAGAATATATTTAGGCTGTAAAACCCACCAGGGAAACAGAAAAAATAAATCTAGTGAATTTAAAACCGAAGTAGATGCTGAAGGTAGCAGAGAATTTCTAACCTCTCAGCCTGCTTTTGTTCCATGATCTCAAGGGGATTAACAACAGTGACACAATCACTGCTTCAGAAAGCAATGTTACATGGGACAGACATCAGAAAAGGAACAGATCCTGCTTCTCACCACACTGTTGGATGGTGAGAGAATACCTGCTTTCCTGAGGAGGCCCTTCAGAACCTGCCAGCCAGACACACAGCGCTGGTGGGGCTCCTGAGGATGAACCGTTGCTGAAGGGCTGGAGCAGAACCTGCCTTCACGTGTTTTCTCTCTCACCACAGCTCTCCTGGTCCAGGACAGCTCTGCCTCAGCGAGGCACCCAGGTGCTCCACACCACAAGAGATTTCATATTCTTAGGAAAAAGAGAAGAGGCTTCTGCACTTAAGAATGTGGCCTGGTGGCTGCAGTGACCTTCAGGTCAAGAAATGAATGATGTCATATTAAATGAGTTCATAGCCGGTGTGACACAGACAATCCCTTCATGATAAAAACTCTTTTACAGCCCTGACCTTTTGGATTCATCTTCCCCGTCCATTTGGATGGCGGCAGTAATAATGAACTGATCTGCTGAAGGCTGCTGTCTTTTTCTTACCTGTAATAACAATCTCTCATCGCCTATGACGGCAGCTTGGTTCCAATCAATCACTTCCGAGAAGGGCAACTCCCATCCGTTGCTGAGCATAACTGGGACGCAGGCAGCCTGCAGGCACAAGAGGCATTGCAGTTGTTAGCGGGTACCCCATGATTAGGGCGTGAGGTTCGGGGACGGTCAGGCTTTGCGGTGTGCACCAACACCATGAGCGCCGTTTTCTGCACAAGCTCAGGAGAGGCAACGCGGCAAAGAATTCCAGAAGCCAGAGGCCACAGGAGAGCAGCCCCCTTGCTTATGGTTTTCCATTTTGCACTTGCTCGTACTCCTGGAAAGGTGGGTTTTGCATGGCGACTGGCATTTGAAATCTGGGGCTCACGCTGCCAGACGAGGGCAAAACTGGTAAACTGTTGCAGATGTAACCGGGGAGAATTTAATACAAAATGATGGCCTCCCTCGCTGCTTTGTGAACCACTCAGCAGGGAGCCAACTCCCTCAATTTTTATAACATGTTGCAAGACAACCCTACAGAAAATATAGATCACATTTAATTCCAGAGCACTTCTTCCACAAAGGAGGAGCGAATTCCCTATCCTGTTTGATATCAACTCCCCAAACAGAGACAACTGCACAAACACAACTCATCTGTCACCACCTGCCTACAAAAATAAGAATCGTTTTCTGTTTTAAAACAAACAAAAAGCACACACATTTAGGATCTATCTCATACCAGAATGTTCTGTCCAAATTATTTAATCTTTTATGAGTTGTGCAAGTTCCTCTGCACAAACAGCAAGTTTGTGAATATTCAGCAAACAAGTGATCATCACTACGTTCTGGTCAGCCGGATCACAACCTAAGATCCAAACCAAAAATCTGCTGATGTGATGAAAGAGCCTATTACCAGCGGATCTGCATCGGGCCTGTGCTCTGGTTCAGTTTCTTAAGCTTAAGCGTGCTGAATTTGGTCCAGACCTCCCCATACCTCCCAGAAGATGGTATGAAGGGGAACCTTCCAGACTTGTACCTTCCTTGGTAACATGTATTGCACTTGGATTGGTAAAGTCCCTGCATTACAGTGGTGCTTATAATGTGTAAAGAACTGTGATTTTCTGCAAAGAAATGACATTAGTGCATGAAAAAAGCCAACCAGAAAACACTTAGCAATGCGTTTTCATGTTTAAAACATTCCACTAATGTGGATTATGTCTTTTAACATGCCCTGGAGCCAGACAGAAATTGGGAATTCATCATAATTGGTGAATACTGCTGCTAGCCTGCTAGGAAAATCCTCAGCGCCCGAACCAGAGCCTCCAAGTTCTGTACAGTGAGGTACGCTCCTGCTTCCTTCATCTAACAGGAGCTGCATGACTTGTGGCCCAGATGAGAGGAGAGCTGGGCAGTGCTCTTCAGGAGGATCTGACGTGACTCATCATCCCAAAGAAGCCAGTCCCACTCCCTCCTCCAAAGAGGCTGGAGAGGGAACAGCACTTTGCAGGCTATTAACCTTCTCCTGGGTAGGAGCAAAGAAGGAATTGACAGTCCAGAACTCGGATTTCAAATGTGACAGTAGGTGTGGGGTTCAGGGGTTAAACCTAAGTGTCCAGAGTTTTTGGGATGCTTTTGGGTGTCCAAGAAACCCAACAAAGGCTGGCAGACATGACACAGGATCTACTGGATACCTTCTGGAGAAGCAGCAGAAAGCCAGAAGGGTACCCCTGGGCTTCTAAAATGACATTATACACCCACACTTAAGTACCCGAATCCTGCCTTGCACTGTGGCAAATAATACTCTAACAGAGGCTGGGACATTTTGTGGTTGATAAAGAAAAGTGATGTGGTATTATTCATTAACAACTTTACTGCCAATGCTGGGACTCTTCCCAAAAGGCAAAAGAGCACCCGGAGGCAGGACTCTGTACGTCCTCATTTGCCATCTCACCAACCCCAAGAAGCACCTCACCCTCCCCTTCCCTCCACTCCAGCCTCCATGGAAATCCAGCTGCCAGTCCTGGAGGGGAGCTGCGGCCTCTCCCAAGATGCTCTGTATGGCTGACTGAAGATCCAGGACCCCAGGGCTGAGCTGATGCTTGCCAAAAAAGAGGTCACGCTGGCTGCAGCCAGAGCTAGGTCAGTGTCAGGCTCGATCACTGTGCTGCCAACCCCGCTGCTGCAGTGACTCAGGAGCCCCTTCGCATGGCCAACAGCAAGAAAGGGAGGCCACCAACCAGCACGCTCTGAAAAGGTGAAGGGGATTCAGGCACTGTCCCAAACATGCTGTGAGCTCCCTGAAATCCGTCTACATCCACCCTGATGTGAAGCTTCTGTCTGGGGCTTTATAACCTCCAGACCACCTTCAGCACGTTCAGCCAGCACTGCCTCAAGACAGGCAGTGAGTGCATAAGCAGGCCTGTTTTGGCGAAGTGAAAACAAAACACAACTTTTGCTGCCCCGGGGCTCACTTGTAGAGGCCAGTGTCTCCCACGGGAAGTCTCACAGCTTGATAAAATACTACTCTAAACCGGTCCAACCTCTGAGCCTCACCACACCCAGGGAAACCCTCTTCCTGGAGGTAAGGCAATTCAACCTTCTGATGAGCTCAGTGCTCAGCCCCTCCTGGGAAGAAGCTGCCAATTGCTCCAGAAGCATGAATAGAGGCTTTCGCAAAGTGGATTACTGTCCACCAGGGAAATGAAACACATTTCCCTCCTCCCCACCTCCTTGCTATTGCACGCTGAATTGCAGCCGGCGTAGCCGATGCTTTAAGCGGCAGCTCTTACCTGCAAGGCTTCCAGAAACCTGAAAGAGCCAAGCCTGCGGCCACGGGGAACCAGACAGAAAGTGGCATTGTGCAGCATTTCACGGTAATCATACCTAACAAGAACAGGGGAGAAAAGAGAAAATTCAATTAGCGGTGAGTCCTAGAGTAACTGGGCGTGAAAATGCAAACAGCTGTTGAAACACATCTGGATAAAATCATCCCCGACCAAGACTGCTCACCACCAGGTTAACTCGCTCCCCCCGTGCATGTGTGTCAGCCTTCTCCCGGGCTCCTTTCTGTTCATCCTCAGGAGCAACCACCGGGGGAGAGAGCTGGGGAGAGCAGTAATGGAGCTGAGCTGAGGAAATAATTTTGCCTTTGCAACAATCAGCCATCTCCACATAAAGAGGCACGAGTTCTTACCACAAACTGGTATTAAAGATTCGATACCCAAAGGATTGTTGCAGACCCTGATTTCTATCCAGACTTAGTCAAAGTCATGCACAACTCTCTTCTTTTCTGCACAAGAGGTTTGTACAAAGCAAAAAATACTCAAACCACGCCAAAGAAATCTTCCCTTATCAAGCTGGCACTAAAAAAGGGACAGGGGGTTACAATGACTCACTTGGTGGTTATTGTCAAGTGTGGTGCGAGGGATAAACTGCCAAATTTTGGCAATTAAACACATAGCTGCAATGACCCCTGCTCCTGCAAATTAAACCTTTAAGTGCTTAGAGAAACTCCTCGGTTTTTTTTCCAATTCCATCAATCACCTCAAAACCATCCCCAAAAACACACATCAAATCCTAACAATTTCCAGCCTGTCATTAGCTAACTGTACTGCTGGCAAAACCAATGGAACTGCGAGCGGCGTCGACCTCGTCTGAGACAAAAGGAACCAGATTAAACACCCTCCGTTCTCCAGAGTGTCCTGGACTCTGCAGATGGGTGACACTCTGACATAACTTGTGGCACTGAAATTTTCTAACACTAATAATCTAATTTAACTGCAGTCTCCAGGCAGAGCAATTTTTTTGGTATGTGTGTATCTGTGTACGTATATACATACGTATATGATTATATATTATATATCTAAAAGTCCGGATCTACGTTTGTATTTTCACACAGGCCAGACAGATGGGAGCAAGCCAATTTTCAATTATAAGCTCCCTCTTTAGGAAGAGACATCTTGCAAAGGCCCATTTGCTTAAACAAGCGTGTATAGCTAATTTGCACAAGAAAAGGTCACTGTGAATGGATTAAGATTATCTCCACTGAGAGTAAAATAAAAACCCTCCTTGCATTAATTAAAACTACAAAACAGACTTCAAAGTACTTTTTTTTTTAAAACGTATCTCAACTTCAGTTAAAATACATATATACATATTCAATCTGAGTGGCAGCAACTTCTTCTCCATGTGGGATATTGATTGGCAGCCATGTCCCAGCTCACCAGCCAGCAGTGACACAGCACACAGGGGAAAATATTAGGAAACTGGAATACCAAAGAAAATAAAAGGAGTTGCCATTTTTAAGCATTCCTTTTTTACATACTGAGAGGTCTGAGGCTCATCACTTTCACTATATGTTGTATGACAGAAAATGTTAATAAATACCAAAAATAGAATACCCCGTAGGGCTAGAATATGCCAGTCAGAAGTCCCGATCATTAGCTAGCTAAAAATGTAAAATCCTGTTAATACCCCGGAATGCAACAATGGCCACAAAACGTCGATGGCAGAACCAGAACACAAAGGAAAGCTGAGAAGGAGGCCAGCAGAAGCACGTCCTCCATATGCCAGCGACGCATATCTTGGCCACCTTTTCTTCCAAATCTAATGTGCTGATACCAGGAGAGATATACGAAGGGAAAAAAAAAAGGATTTCGTTGACCATTTCTCACTTGGAAACCACTTAGCGTCTTGCTCCTATTTGTGTGTTTTAAAGCCTAACGTGTGATTTATTGCTGAGCTCTGGAACAGCACAGTTCATGGTCATCAAGCAATTTATCTGTATCATACGGACGCAGAGCGCCTCATCCTAACCTTGACGTCTGGGCACAAAATTTCCACTCACTTCAGGGGGAACCCGCAAACACAACAGGCGCAGACCCAGTAAAGCAGTCGTCATCGAGTGCTGCTCCAGCGAATGAACTGCACCAGAGATTCTCCTCATGGCTACATTTCTCTGCAGTTTCAACCCAAATGTTTTAAGGAGACTCAACATGATCTTTGAGCGAGATGTTGAAGGACTGAATGCTGAAGGATGTTGTCAAACCCACAACATCAGAAGGATATAGACCAGTTGGAGCGAGTCCAGAGGAGGCCACGAAGATGCTCAGAGGGCTGGAGCCCCTCTGCTATGGGGACAGGCTGCAAGAGTTGGGCTTGTTCCGCCTGGAGAAGAGAAGGCTCCGGGGAGACCTTATGGCAGCCTTCCAGTACCTGAAGGGGCTACAAGGAAGCTGGGAGGGACTTTTTACAAGGGCCTGTAGTGACAGGACAAGGGGTAACGGGTTTAAATTGAAAGTGGGGAGGGTTAGATTAGATATCAGGAAGAAGTTCTTCCCAGAGAGGGTGATGAGGCACTGGAACAGGTTGCCCAGAGAAGCTGTGGATGCCCCATCCCTGCAAGTGTTCAAGGCCAGGCTGGATGAGGCTCTGAGCAACCTGGTCTAGTGGAAGGTGTCCCTGCCCATGGCAGGGAGGTTGGAACTAGATGGTCTTTAAGGTCCCTTCCAACCCAAACCATTCTGTGATTCTGATGATTCTATGACTGAATTACAGCTAAATCCCACTCAGCGACCACTCCAGGATCAAGCGCCCATTTGAAACCCTCGCACCCAAGGTGCTAATTCTACTCCTAGTAGTTCAGGGGTAGCATGCAAAGCAGCGGGGCACCAGCCTTAGCTGAAAGACGGAATATTGCCCAGTATGTTTATACGAATTCAGAAACGCCTTTCACACAACACACGCAGCCAGCCACAGACACGTAAACATCTCTGTCGAGCTGCACGCACAGCCCTGCAAGCTGAAGCATGGCTCGCGGAGGAAATCGTTTACAGGTACCGAATAGTACTTCGGAGTCTGGTCTGTAGCAAAGAGAATTTGGTACTTCTCGCAGAGTGCCAGGCAACTCCAGCCCACAGGCGCTGGAGGGGACCGATGGCATCAGGGCAACCCTTCCCATTCAGCCCTGTAGGAACCATGCAGGCAGCAGCTCTGAGCTGTGCCAGTGTTTTCCCGCGGGAGGGAAAATTGCTTACGTATGATTGGTGGTTTTTTCCACAGAGGAAGCGGACACGTCTCACCTGAAAGCATCTCCGCACTTCCCTTAACTCTGACTTGTAATGCTTTCAGCGAAGTCAGCGAGATAATCTCTATGATTAAGGTAAGTGTCTGAGTTAAATCTTTGCTGGACTCAAAATTCCTGCTCCGCTTATCCAGGAGAGAAATCGGAGCTGGCGCAGACATCCAGGAGCACACACTCAGCTACAGCAGGACACCTGTACATTAAGTACAAGAGATCCAGCCTCTATTGCAAATACCAGCATCCGCACGCTCTGGTTTTACCCAGCTCCGGAGGTTTTTCAGGCTACACTTGCAGCTGAGGAATCGGAGCGAAGCCCAGCACCACACCAGCAGCCGGCCGGGCACTTCTCCCTTACCTGTGCTGCCTGGGGGCCACACTCCCTTTGGCATTTTCCTTAACTGCTGGCAGTTAATCTTCCTGAGCATTTACTGCAGGAAGCTCTGGGAAGAGTCCTCTGCTTTGCTCAGAGGGTATGTATTTCCAGAAAGTTCCTGGTTTCCATGCTAGAAGGCTGCTGGGGAGAGGGGGCAGATGCTTACTGCTCATATGCCTGTATTCCTTCATCCCGCACGCTTGCACGGAGGTAGCGTTTTACTGCCAATTTCAGGGTCGGCTTGGCCTGGGCCTCAGCTGCATCATTCAAACATGTTAAAATCCACAATGCATATGACTTTAAAATGACAGTTGGGGCTTTAAAACTAAAATAGCTACAGATTTAACCCAAAGCTGGCATCCCTCCGTAAGGATCAGCAGTGTGTTTTATTAATTTTCAGGCTTCCTTCCGTAATGATTAAGTGCACCTTGTTCACAGCTAATACCTTTTTAGGCAGCATAAACAAATAGCTCTATTTGTAATCAATTCTAATTTATTCACACTTTAATTGAAATATCCCCTCCTTGCTACCACCCATAGCTGAGAAAACATGTTCGGCCCCATCTATCACGCAGGTGTAAACACTGTAATGCCATGTGGGCAATTATCCAAAGGAGAAACGCTGCTCAGCCAAATGCTCTTACCATTTTAACTTCTTGATCCAACACGTTGCTTCTGTCTTTCCCCATCCCCCCCTCTTTTTTTTTTTTTCCTTCTGATGTGCCGACCTTGTCAATCAGCACACGGATTAGAGGGCTGCTTGGGATTCCTGGTTCACCATTGTCCCAAGGAGCCCGGGCAGGCTGCAGAGGCTCTGCAGTGACTAATCAGCCATGCCACACATTCCTTCTTACAGCTTAAGCATTTCCCCATGTCACTACACTTAAGAGATTATAAACTAGCCTGGGAAACATTTTCACTACCAATTTTAATATATGTTTTTCCAAAGCCACATCATCACCCCCATTGACTGGAGAGAGGTCTAAAAAGACGCTGGCTGTTTAGACCAGCAGATATGTCCAGCTACCCAGATGTAATGATGTTCCTGCTTTATCCAGCCATATGTCACCTGTCACGTCGGCATCATAAAGCAGTGTACATATTTGCTTATCTAATCTCCCGAGCACTGATATGGGATACCATCACCATTCCCATTTCATACGTGGAAATCCTGAGATAGAGATGGCTGGTGGCTTCTCCAGCAGCTCAACAGACCTTGGGAATGCTAACCCCAGCGTCTCCAATGCCCCCCTCCTCTCTGATGGTGCAGCATGTGCCAAAACCCAGCTGTACATAATGGCTATCAAAATTCAGATGGAAATACAGGGGCAGAACCCACACCAAATACACCACACCAAATACTGCTGGTTTAACCCAGCAGTACACATCTTAACAGTGCCACACCTAACCCATCTTTTGGAAGATGCT